GAGACCTTGATGTTGGAGATGAAGGTGCTCATCTTCCTCTTAGTCTCTCTGGTGCCCGCCGCCCCCCCCCCCAGATCTCCATCTTGTCTGTGGCAGAAACCGTTCGCTCCTGTTCTTTGGACCAGTGCTATAAGAGTCTGCTGTCTCCAGCCACCAGTGAGACTAAGAGGAAGATGAGCACCTTCATCTCCAACATCAAGGTCTCCAGTGGAGCCACCCAGCACGCAGCTGGCTTCCAGAAGGCTTTCCAGCTGCTTCGCAACACTAGCAGCATCATCAAACAGAGCAGCAGTAAGACGAACTCAAACAGTTCTGTGGAACTCGGGGCTTGTTCTGTTGCCTGAGAATGTTTTTAAAGATCCAGTCCAGCTCATTGGTCTTTAATAGAGCGTGATTATCATGAGCACTCATTATTCTGGCTCATATATAAATAAAATGTTTTGTCCTCTCTCAGCTACAGACATGGTTATTATCTACCTGTCGTCTGGTGTTACATCCCGAGATTCGTCAGAACTGGAGAAGAGATCCACTCTCAGCGTGGTCAGAGAGGAGAACCGACACCTCAACAACTCTGTCATGATCCTCACTTATGCTCTCATGAACGGTAGGTCCTACATGAAATGGTTACCATAAACTTGTTACCAGTTTTATTTGTTTTTAGTGTTAAAAAATTGTTAAATTAAAAAAAATATATATTTATATTTTGAAGGTGGAGAATCGGAAATGTCCAATTTCTAGTTTAAAGAAATTACATTTTCCACAAAAGTGCAGTGCCAGTTCAGAGTGCTGACATTTGCTGAAGGAGCTGAAACTGAATAATTAAAAGTTGAAACGCAACAAAAGCTAAAATTAGGAAAACAGGTGCTAATATCCAACACCAGCAAAACAGAATGGCAGCACTGGTGAGAGATCCGCTTCGACTCGCTCTTTATTATTATTTTTGGTTCCTGTTGCTTTTGTTTGAATTTTTTTTGCACCTACACTGGACACCCACGCTACAGGTATGACCACGACACACTTTTTGAAGTTTTGTGTGTCACTGACTTGCCATTGTGCCACCGTGGTTCAGTTCCCGGCCCCCTTCCAGTCTCGGGCCCAGGCTCCGGCTTGACATGGCGGCCGTCTCCATGATCCTCCATCTGCCTGCACGGACCGAACTCTACGGAACAGTTCGGTTCCGCTGAGAAAACTTGGATGTTCTGTGTCTGTCGGACCCGGTTCTGGAGGACAATCATTGTCCATTGCTGCGGTCATTATCATCATCATGCTGCTAACGGGACCGCACTTCTAACAAGACCACACCGCTAACAGAACCACACTGCTAACAGAACCACTCTGCGAACAGTACCATGGTGCTAACGGGATCATGTTGCTAAGAGAACCTCACTGCCAACAGAACCACACTACTAATAGAACCATGCTGCTGTAGATGTATTTCTTTTTCACATTTGGCGCCTTGTTTTTGTGTTTTTGTTGCATATTTTGATATTTCTTGTTGTTTTTTTGGCGAGTCGAAATGGTTCTTCTCGTCCTGAACATTTCATTGCATTGTTGACCTTCTTGATCTGCATATGTCAATAACCAATCCTAAACCAGTAGCTAAAACCAGTAGCTAAAAGCAAAAAAAAAACTGAAGTTATTATGCTGAAATAGATTTCAGACCAGTGTTTGAAGAATTTAACGAGTTCTTAATGTATTTCTATAAAACAAACAACTGCAGATAAAGTTTATTTAAAAAGTGTAAAAGTTACAAATGTCCAAATGTCCTGAACATGCTGAGTTTTAATATAGAGGAGTGGTTCATATACCTGAGAGCATGCTCAAGTAGTTTTAGTTTGAAAAGCATACATAATAAACTATATTTAGTATTATTTCTTAATAATAATACACTTTTTATTTATTTAAACAAGAAAACAATAGTGTAAATCACAACTCTGCATTTTTTGAAAAAACAACATAATGTTGTTTTTTTGTTTGTTTTTTATAGCAAGTTGACATTGCTTTGAAAACCTAAACGTTTATTCACTAAACATATTCCAGCACTCCAAAGTGGATTTACATCAGCCGCTTTTCTTGGTTAAATTTTATATCTTTGGATTAAAATAAAATCCAACCATGAAATCCTGTAATGTTTGTAAATTCATCACCAGTGCAGAATTTATTTTTTCATTTACAGAACAAGATATTTATGTTCTTGTCATTACGTGCGTTGGAATCTATTGCTTCACTTGTTTTCTGTTCTGCTGGGAGTTGTTTTTTTGTTTGAAATCTTGTTAAATATTCTGTTTTTATGCTTAAGAGAAGACTGAAGGTTGTTGAGGTGTTCTGAAACCTCTGAAGGCTGTGTGTGTATGTTCGTCTTTCTTTTCCTCTTTCGTTGTCTTTCTTTCCATCTGCTTCCTTTAAACCCACCTCCCTCCGTGGCGCACATTCACCCTCTCCTTCTGTGCATGCATTAGTCCACCATTAATACAAATTATTTTTGCAGCGGAGAATGGAAATGAGGGACATCTAAGAGAAGGGAGAGAGAGACTTCAAAGAGCGTGCTGCTCCCTCGGCGTGTGACTGACAGAGGACCATGGCTCTTTAAAGAGAGATGATGAAAAGGATGCAGAAATCTTCCGGTTTCTGAGTTTATTAGCATTGCATATTTAAAATATTTAAAAAAATGTTTTGTTGCTGATGGCTGTTGCACAATGCTGAAAGGCCTTCTATGGGTGGGGGAGTCTTATTTGCTGCATTCTGTTTTCTGCTCCTGCCAAATGTGAAGTGCTGATTGTCCAAAGAGATCAGCAGTCCCCTCCCACTGCAAGACATGATCTGTGTTTGTATGTGTATGTGTGTGTGTGTGTTTGTACCCTGGTTTTTGTTACCCTTTTAGAACCTTTTCTGGTATAATCACCTACCTTGTGAGGACTGGTAGTCCTTTTGGGGACGAACAGTGGTGTAGTCTACATTTTTGTAGTGGGTATACTGTGCTTAGAAACCAAAGTACACTGGTTAGTACAATGTAATCGTCAATTTATTTAGATTTTTAAGCATATTGAATATTTCCAAATTTCTCTGGTGCTTATATTTGAATAAATGTACAACAAACTTTTTACAACGGTTAGCTTTGTATTAAAAACGTTAAAGAATTTATAAAACATTATCAAAGCAATGCGCTGCATACTGATAGATTGTTACGGAAGCGATTAACTGCCGTTTAACGTATCAATGACACGTGCCTAATGATATGTTATGCATCGATGGGCAATTTTAAGTGGGTATACTGAAATTCTTAAGCTTTTCTAGTTGGTATACTCCGTATACCAGAGTATCACGTAGACTACACCACTGGGGACGAAAGCTCAGTCCTAATGGGGCAGAACATCATTTTGGGGTTAGGACCCAAGTTTAGGCCTAAGGTGCAACATGAGTTTAGGTTGGGGTTATGTCTGTACTAGTAATAGTTAAATTTAGGGTTAGGGTCAGGGTTATACTATAGAAATGTAACGATTCCCTGTAACAATAGAATGACAAACTTGTGTGTGTGTGTGTGTGTCTGCATGCATGCATGTGTGCACGTACATTCTGCAGGTTTCAAACAAACACAGTCTTCATGATTATTCAGCCACAAGGGAACATAATGTATTTTGCCTCACCCTTAATGCTAAATGTGTTGGACCTTTCAAAATTCAAACTATGTTTTGAAAACCCGGTTTGCCTGGATCCAGCACCTTTGAAGCAAGAACTGCAGGTGTTGCTGCTGACTCCACCTTTGAACCGTCAGCAGAAGTTTCTCTTTGAGTCCGTTTGACGTTGCCACCCACGGTGACGCGGCCTCCTGTATGAGGCCCGTGGTGGTGACCTAACAAGCAGAGCTTTGGCATTATAAAGGGATTCTACTTTAATCCGTTCAGTGATTGGACGCCGGCAGACATTCTCCTCTGTCCTTCCCAACGGGTTATAGGATGCCAAATGTTCCAGGTGACAGCTGTAGGGGCTGCCATCCATCTATCCACCTTTCCATCTTTCTAAATGACCTCATGATGACTACAAAGATAAAATCTGAAGAGTGCATTACTGTCTCTTTTGTATTTGTGTGTTTAAGTAACGGGGGATTTATTTAGGCCGTGATCTCAGGGTGTGATAGATGACAGCTGAGCTTGGCAGGAGCATTCAAGTCAAGCTTATAGAGATCATCAGTCATTAACAGGAGTCACGACCTCAATGTGTGAAAAACCTCTGATGCAGTGCAGATTTGGGGGAATTTATCTACATCATTTGTTTTAAACCGATCTAAACCAAGCTCTTTGTATTTAACCATGCAGGCTTTCTGTGAGGAGTTATTCTAATAATAAACTTTTCGTTCAATTCAGACCCTATTTGGAGATAATTTTGTTGTGTTTACAGCTGCAGAGGAATGTGAGTTGTAGGTTGACTTATATTCAGTTAGAATTGTGCACTCTTTACTTAAGAGCTGATTTGTCTTTTTTATAGGTACTGTGTTGGAAAAAAAATAGTCATCCTCTTATAGATTTCTTCTGTTTTTGCTTAGTTTTTTTTGCATTTACACAATTCAGATCATCAAACAAATGTTAACATCCAACAAAGATGATCTGATTAAATACAAAATACAGTTTTAAACAGATAATTTAATTTACTAAGGAAACAAACCTAATAGTTAGCTACCGTTAGCAGCAACAACTGCAATCAATGATTTGCAGTAAGTGTTGATGGATCTTTCATGTATCTGTGGAGGAATGTAGCTGCTAGGCTTCAGATCGTTGTCCTGCTGCAGAACCCAGGTGAGCTTGAGCTTAAGGTCACGGAGTGATGATCAGACATTGTCCTTCAGCATTTTATGGTCAAAAGCAAAATTCATGGTTTCATCAATCACGGCAAGTCATCCAGGTCCAGAAACAGCCAAACAGCCCCAGACCATCACACTACCACTACCATGTTTGACTGTAGGTGTGAGGTTTTGAGTTGGTCTGGATAGGTTTTTCAATCGAAAATGGAATAATTTTTGTATTATATCAAGTTATCTTTGTGTTGTTTTTATTTTTGCTGAGTGACAAAAAGAAAAAAACTAACTAAAGTAATCCGTAAGGGGGCTAATACTTTTTCACAGCTCTGAATATTTCTATCAGTTGCTGCTTTATTTTTTAAAATGTTCCCTTGTTAAAACTTAAACGTCGCTGCTGACTCTCCTCTGATATTTGACTCCATTTCTGTTCCACGCCATCCTTCTTCCAGAGGGAGTCACAGGTTTGAAGGAGCTGGCCTTCCTGAGAGACCTCGCTGAGCAGAATTCAGTGAAGTACGGCGTCGATCGAACGTTCGACCGAGAGCGCTTCTCCGCTGCATCGCTGCCTGGATCGACCGGAGCTTCATTGATGCCGGTGGTAAAGGGCAGCATGATGGTGCTGAACCAGCTGAGCAACCTGGAGACGACCGTGGGCCGTTTTTACATCAACCTGCCCAATCGCATGATTGACCTGGCTCGTTTCAGCCTGCCCTACTCTGATCCCATGGGAGACGGTGAGTGGTGTGGATGAGAGTGGATCAAAATTAAACTTAAATCTGAGCTGTCTTTATCCTTCAAAATTGAAGTGCATTTTGAATAAATTAGTTTATTGACAGCATTTGATGATTGGCTTTGCATTAAAATGAACCACTAGAGACACAAGTAGAAGTAAAATTAATTCGTAGTGTTTTAGGCATGGTCAAAACGTGGCATGTTGATACATCCTCCACATCTCTGCAAGTTTTATTCTTCTGTTTTTATATTAATATTATGCGTATACAGCATATAATAATAATAATATAATAGCATATAATTGTGTCAAGATAAAAGTCAGCCACACAGTTTTATTGTGAACAAGCAGACCGCTCTGTTTTAGCTCCAAAATAAATAAATAATTCAATTCAGTTTATTTATATAGCGCCAAGTCATAGCAGAAGTCATCTCAGGGCACTGAACAGAAACATTCATATATAAAATAATAATTTAACATTATTTATCTGAGGAGCAGACTGCTTTGCGTTTAACTCCATCGCAGAACTCTCATCTTAAGCATGAAAATAAATAAATAAAACTGTGCCATCGTTTGCTCAGTCAAACTGTCCTCACTGAAACAGTTGAGCTCAAGTAGTTGTTTGTTTTTCTTCAGGGTTCATCATGACTGTGAGTCGGCCATGTTACTTTGGTAACATGCTGCTGGGCGTAGTCGGGGTTGATGTAAATCTCGCTTACATACTGGAGGACGTCACCTATTATCAAGACTCGCTGGCTTCATACACCTTCCTCATTGACAACAAAGGTACTGATCAGCAAAGTACAGTTTCTTGACTCATGTTTAAGTCCATCTTATCATAAAGAAACAACAAGTGATATAAATCACAGCAGAATGAATAATAAAGACACGATGGTTACATTTTCTGAGGCTACGAACCTGCAAGCATCAGTCAGGAAAACAGCATAGAAGTCGAACCATTTTCTTCTTATTTTCCGAGTAGAATTAAAGACTTTATTTTGTTGCTTTTAAAACAGCCAGTATCCCGTTGGGCCTAATTGACATTTTTTAAGGCAGAACTGACGTTTGTTTGGCACTTAGTTCCTGTTGAGCGTAACTGTGTTGCCACAGTACATGAGAGGCTGTTCTCGGGTTAGGTGTTGGTTTATTTTGGCTCCAGCTGAGGAAGATTTCAGCTTCACTTTTGACACTTTAAAGCTCATAGATTTGACTTGGATGAGAAGTGAAACTAGTGGGCAGGGTGGAAAACACATGACTTGTTCAGGAAATCAAAAACAAAAAAATAAAGGGCTGTGATGAGATGGTTTAGCGCAGGGGTCACCAACCTTTTTGAGACTGAGGGCTACTTCAGTGAGACTGAAGGCTTACTTGTTTGATCCAAGCAAATTTGCACGGCTAACCTTTATTTATAGTATTAATAATAATACATTTACATACATGTGAATATATGACTACATGGTCACATCTGATCTGATCTGTATTATTAAAACTGCCCACAACGATTACAAGTAAGGATTTAGCATGGCAAATATGATAAATTATTATTGATAACTAGTGATTAGAACTCTCAATCGAGAACTTGAGTCCTCAGTTTGAATCCTTTTTGGGCTCTTCCATGCTACTGTCCCTAGCTGTGACTGAAATGGTTGTTTGTCTCGTTGTCTGTGTCTCTGTGACGGACTGGAGACCTGTCCTGGGTGTCCCTTGCCTTCACCCTAAAGCAGCTGAGATGGGCTCCAGTCCCCAACCAGGGGACATGATAGATGACTTATTAGAAAACTGATATTTAATCATTAAACACTATTTATTTTGTTAATCTCCATCAGTAACATTTGAAATTCAGTGCATTTTATATTTTCTTAACAGTTTTTTTTTAGGAATGAACACATTTGTATCATTCATTCAAAATATGCTTTTTACTATAAACGACTTTTGTAACATTTTAAAGAACCTATTAATAATAAAATATTCCAATCAAGCCCTGTTTGCGCTAACTGTTGTGTTTGTAACATTTCAGTATAATTCATTCTTGCAGATACCAAATGTAAAAAAACTGACATTTTTACATGAATCATGTCACATTAGTACTGATCCTCAGATCTGCATTTTTAACTAATCATCGCATCTTTTACTCTTTTTAAAGAAATTATTTTTCACATATTTCATCATTGCTTCTTGTCTGCTGTTTGCTCAGAGCTGCCTTTAACTCTGTTGTGAGAAACCAGGGGGTAGTTAGCATTGAAGCTAACATGGTAGCTGGTGAAGTGTCGCTCCACGTTGTTTTGTTGTCGCCACAAACCACTAATGAGACACAGACACACTTTCACAACTGTAAAAGACCTCTTCCTCCCAGTCACTGTAAAAAATATGTTTTCTTATGTTTTTCTGCCATTTTCCCCTCTGGGAGGTAAAACTAGCTTGTAGCTGCGCCGCTGCAGAGATGCCAGTTCATCTTCGCAGGATTCTGAACTTTGACCCCAGACAGGACTGATTCTGAACTGTATATGTAAAACTATTACTTTTTAAAGTTTTTATTAATTATTTTCATTTCATATATATATATATATATATATATATATATATATATATATATATATAATATCCTTGCAAATGTTGTTTTCTTAAATTTAAAAAACAGAATTAATGGCCATCTTTAGGTGGTGCTCCTTGACAATGTGTGCTATTTTTAGAACATGCCTCACGGGCAACTCAAGAGGTCCCTGCATGCGACCAGGTGCACGCGGGCAACCAGATGTCCGCGGGCACTGCGTTGGTGACCCCTGGTTTAGAGGGTAGAGAAGGGAGGTGCATTTTTATACGCCCGTTGAAAGGCGGACGTATTACGGTATAGTCTCTGTCTAAACTTTCTCTTGTCCTGCCCATAACTTCTGATCCAACCAGGGTAATTTACCAAAGCTTCATACATACATGCATCATTACTAGACAGTGTCACGTACACTTCTTCACTCCAGCGTCAAGGTCATAAAACAAGGTCGTTGCTTATTCGAACCATAATGGTCCCACATTATGTGCCACGGACAAGGAAAAGTTGAAGTTTAATGGGTAAACAAGTTTCTGTTGAGCTCAGACTAAAAAAAATTGTGAAGCAGGTAGAAGCTTTGACAGGAGGGAGATGAACCAGCTACAATGAAAACGAAAATTATAACTGAGCAAATTATTTTTACTCAACCAAAAGACTGGAATAGTTCACATTAAATTATGCTAGGTGGATTCTTACAAGTTTGCATGCATGCTTTGCCTCAAACTGCTTTTCAAAGATGTTATTACTGTAATAAATATAAACCATTAAAGTAGAGCTTATTAGTGCGACATAATTTCCAGAGCTACAGTTCAATAAACAAAGAGAAATGGCTCCTAATAAAGCTGTTAGCATGCGTTTAAATCATCTGCTTCCGTTTAGTTAAGATATGCTGCAGCCAAACGGCATCTAGAATGAAAACCACACACTAGCAGAAGAGCTTATTTAAAGTAGTTTTACTATTTAATGCATAATAATATAATGCATTCTAAACATTAAAGCCCATAAAATTCTTCAAAGCAATTTCTTGTAGAATAAATCTGCCTCCCATAGGTGAACTTTGGGGAGAAAAGCTACAAGTGCAGTTGTTAGATGCGTGTAAAAAAGAAACGGATGTATGATAATATTGTTTATTACAATATAAATTTTACAATGTCTAACTCTCAAAAGTTTTACTTTTGATTTTCCACATGGTTTTAGGGGAAAGCATTTAGATTTTATAGTCTAAAATTTTAAATCGTATCACTACTTACATTAAAGCATCCTCTGGAATTAGTCCTGTCATCCACTAAAATCTAAACTTAAATATATAAAATGTTCTTTGAGTTTGCCAGTTATATACCAGAGTATAACATTTCAGCAAAAGGTGAAAAGTGCAGTAGTGTTTTGTTAGTGTTTGGATTGCAGAAGCAGCAGAAAGTAGAGATGCACAATGTTGAATTTTAGGTTGACATCCGATATGCCAATGTGTTAAAACTTATTTGGTCGATAACCGATACCAATACCAATATTTTTTTTTCCCTAGACCTACTTACAGAGACTACATAACTATCTCTGCTGTGGAATTAAAATACAACATCATTTTGCATGCTTTGTCAGTTTTGGCCTGCAATCAAATGCAGATGCCCAAAAGGGGCTGAAAATGATGCAACACTTCAACTTGGATTATGTTTAATGTCAAACGTATTCATGACATTTACTCTAACATTTCTAGAGATGGTTAATTAGATTTGAAGTATTGTAGGATTTTGTTTTCGCTCCTCCTCGCGTCACTGACGCTGAGCATATATATATATATATATATTTATATATATTTATGACAGCACCTTTCATATCTGTGTTATTTTGATGGAATGGCCGATGTCTAATATTTAACTTTATCGCTAATATTGGCCGATATCGATACCATGCAGATAATATTGTGCATCCCTAGCAGAAAATATACAATGTTGGTTTTTGTCTTCCCAGGTTACACCTTGATGCACCCGTCGCTGACCCGACCCTACCTGATGACAGAGCCTCCGCTGCACACAGATATCATCCACTACGAGAATATCCCAGGCTTCCCTGCTGTCCGACAGAACATCCTCAGGTTAGAGAAGACGCGATCTGTTAGACGAGTAAAGAAAACGGCTTTTCATTGGAATTCCTCCAGCCAGAGATGCACACATGATAATAAACTGGGTACATGTTTGCTGCGTTATGTGATTAATAATGTTTTTTTTTTTCTTGCAGCCTTCCTTTGGGCAGTCAGGTTATTGCTGTGCCGGTTAACTCCTCCCTGTCCTGGCACACCAACCGACTCAGGGACAACAGCAAAGAGGCGTACAATGTCAGCTATGCCTGGAAATTGGTTGGTGGCCTCAAAGACTATTGAATTAATTTATTGCCAGCTGGACTAAAGTAAAAGATAAACCTGTACATCTGAGGCTGAACAATCTCTGTCAGTCAGTGGAGCGACGGCTATTGTGGGGCTTGGAAAAGTATCGGTTTAATTTACTTTTGCATCTTTTTCCTTTCAGTCTAAAACACTTAATCATTACTGTACTTCCCTCTAAAACCAGTGTAAAGATTTATGCTCCTGACCTCCACCACATTAAATTAGTCATCATAATAAAAACCATTAAACCCCCACACCCAGAACCAGTTTAACCCTTGACTGGCTTTTCCTTAAACAACCAGAAAAGTCAGTTTTTAGGGATAAATGGCAACAGGATGGCAACATATGCTGCTACTGAGTGACTGCTTTATGACATTTTTGTATTTTTTTCATTTGGCAGGAGCAGAAATATCACATTTAATTGAAGCATTTCTTATCAGCCTCTCTGTAAAGTGTTTCTGTTTTTTTTTTACACAGGCACAAATTTAAACACTTTTCGTTTTGGAACGAACAGTCACTTCTGCTGTTGTTTTGTTGCTCAGAACTCGACATATTGGGAACCACTGCGTTAACATAAAGCCCCACAATGCTAGACGCTGGTTAAAAATACATGGCAGCTCCCGTGAAACAGGAAATGCTGAGTTTTTATTGCCTAAAATAAGCCACAGAGAAATATTTATTCCTTTTCATCCTTTAATACGTTCTTTAATTTCTCCTCTTTGTGTCTTCCAGGTCCAGGACACATCTTTCATCCTGTGCATTGTGTACGTGCAGCCTGAGATCCCAGTGAAGCAGCTGAAGAACCTGAACACGGCTCCCAGCTCTAAGCTGCTCTACCATCGCTTGGATCTGCTGGGTCAGCCCAATTCCTGCCTGCACTTCAAGCAGCTTGCCACCGTTGGTAGGAAAAGCACAAAAAAATCTGCAAATCTTATTCATAATGCCATTGATCTGGGAAAAAAAAATCATTTTTACTGTTCGTTTGTCCCTCTTCTGTCTTGTTTCCCAGAATTCCCCACAGTGATGCTGTCAGCTGGAAGCTTCTCCTCCCCTTATGAGCACCTCAGCCAGCCAGAAACAAAGCGGATGGTGGAGCACTACACGGCCTATCTGAGTGATAACACCAGGCTCATTGCCAACCCGGGCCTCAAGGTACACAACTCCAAGCTCCTTTAAACCCACACAAATGCAAATCACCAGCCTGAAGGCACATACAGTCATAAATACTAAGTTCTTGTTTTATCAAACAAACGTGGCAAACTCCCTGTCCTGAGGTCACTTTGTACAACACAAACACAATATCTGCACTCCACCTTACAGAATTTTACAAAATGACTCACCAAATCTGATAATACTAACGTCTACAGGCTTCTGACGACGCAGCCAACGTTCCAAAAAACTGAAAAGGTGTTCTGCATCTTTAAGAAGGGAACAAATCCCCACTAGGGTTTTTGGCATTCTGTTTGCATTCCTTTCCTGGGGGGAGTTAAAGATTGAACTCCAAACCAAAATCTCGGCACAGATTCCCAGGCTCGTCTTAAAGACCCCCTCCAGTGACCTCATCACCTCTTTCAAACTTAAAGCTCGTCTGAGAGTGGTCCTGGACTGGGATTTTTCAGGACACTGGGGGCTAATCAACTTTAACAGGAAGATTTCATTCTAGCAGCAAATGGATGAAAAGTTGTTGTTTTTTTCCCGTTTATAAGTTGGCAACTAACAAAACCTTTTCTGGTATTTCTTCATTATTATTTCCGTGTGCTTTCACCAATTTTATTTGCTCTTCTTTCTACCTCCTCGGCCCCTTGTTGTCCTCGCTCATCATCCGTCCCTTCATCTTTCCCCCTCTGTAGTCCTCCGTCAGGAACGAGGTTATGGCAACCAGTCACGTTACGGATGAGTGGATGACACTAATGGAAATGAGTAGCCTCAACTGCTACATTGTGCGCCGTTACATAGCAACACCCAGCGGGGTGCTCCGGATTTACCCAGGATCGCTGATGGACAAAGCATTCGACCCGACCCGCAGACAATGGTGAGGCTTACTGTGGTGGGTTTGGATGGGTGGGGGGAAAGCAGCGAGGGTGTGTGTGTGTGTGTGTGTGTGTGTGTGTGTGCATTTTTGGGGAGCAACAAGTTTTCCCTGAGTAATTTTGAGTAATAAGTCCAGCTCAAGAAAGCTTAATTAGTTGTTACATCATCAGCGATACAAGTGTTTTCTTTTCTGCTTAAAGTGCCGTTGTTGTTTGTTCTCACTTTAAAATTGAACTTGTTTGCACTTTACCGCTTAGCATTGCTTCATATTTTTACTCCATATCAACAGCTTTGCTTTATGCTTTTTGCTTTTCAAGTTCTGTTTTTCTACTTCCCAGGTTGCTAGCTTGTTAAATGGGATGAATAAATCAACGTTTTCCTGTAGGAATCTGGGCTCACGCCACTCCCAGAGAAAAAAAACTTTAAGAGGCAGGAATTGAGACATAAATGTGTACTTGGTTTGATGTTCTTTAAAATAATACTCTCTTTTTTTTTTTCTCTGAGGGTCAAATTTATTTTTGTTATATTTGTAAAAAAAACAACAACAAAAAAAACAGTGATTTCTAAATTTGTTGAGCTCTGAGCCACAAAACACCAGCAGCTGGTTATTGTTGGTGCTAAATAGCCAAAAACAAGAGAACAAACACCCCAAACAATTATTACATTATGTTTTTAATCCATTATGACTGCTGTTTTGTATAATAATTACAACAAATGTGCTATTAGAAATAATCTTTATATTTTATTGGATTTCAGGAAATCCTATCAAAACCCCTTAATGTTGTTTTACGACCCACAGCGGCGCCCCAATCCCAACTTTGGGACACACTGGGCTAAAACATGGTATTTAGAGAGAAATCAGCTAATCGGTTCACTTTTTTCATCTTTCTTTCTAGACTGAAAATGGCAATTGTTTCGCTTTACAGCAAAAATGTGGTCCAAATATTTAAACACTTCTGTTTTGTTTTGAAATTAGTTTCCACTTACAAAAATCCATGTCTGTGAAAGAACAGTTTTGTTTTTAAACTAGTTAAGTTTGGTTTAGACCAGGTGTTTGCAACCTTTGTGATCAAAAGAGTCGTTTCTGCCTCTTTGCACACTAAATAAAATAACTATGGAGACGCAAAACCTGCTAAAGCTGCGATTATCAACTTGTGGTCCATGGCCCACTTCAAACCTGTTGGAGGGGGCGTTTCCAGCCAGTAGGTGTGATTTTAAGAAATTAAAATATCAAATTATTATTAATATTTATTGATATTTTTATATTTTAGGGCAAACAAAAATACTGGATTTATGTAAAGAAGATTTAAGAAAAAAAAATTTTTTGGCTTATGTGACTTGTCGTTTTAATTGTGGTAACAATTCATAAAGTATCCTATTATTAAGTAATAAAGTTAAAAATTAGGCCAGTTTGTTGGATACGTAATTTAATTTTAAAAGGAAAATAAATACTTCTATTTACTTTTTTAAATTTTTTTATTTTGTAGTTATCGAGTTGACTCACCATGTTTCTTCTCAGCAACTTGCCTTAAAGATATCGCTCCAAAAATTTGGTGGATTTGAGAAAAAGATCACGCCGTAAGACTGGAAGTGTCCTAAAAGAAGTGGCTAACAAGTTACTAGCATGATGAAATCAACGAGTTTTACTCCTTGTGTTAGTACTACATGTTGGCAAAAGAAATGACTGGAGGACTGCTAAAACTAGCCATTTCTTCTTGTCGGTACAACAACCAATACATTTAAGTTTTATGTTAGTTTTGGACAAAACTCTTAGCCGCTGCAGAGGGACCAAAGAGCCGCATGTGGCTCCAGAGCCGCAGGTTGCAGACCCCAGGTTTAGACAAAGGTTAACGCATATTTACCAGGACATGAGCTCAGTGTTTACGTCCTGCATGAAGCTCATAGTTCTGCCTGTTCATTATTGTTTTTAAAGCCTGTAGACTCTTAACTCATTTGATTACATCTGATTGTGTCTTGACGTGTAGGTACCAGCATGCTGTGGCTAACCCTGGTCTCATCACCTTCACCGGTCCGTACCTGGATGTTGGCGGGGCAGGCTACGTTGTCACCATCAGCCACACTATTCATGCCTCCAGGTGAAAAGACAAAAAAATGTTTTAATAGCAGTGAATATGATGTTTTACCAAACCGTAGCTAAAGTCAAATGCTACATAAAAGAATCACCTATGAAAAGCACTTAAGGCTTGACATGTCTGTGTAAATATTTGTACTTTTTGCCGTCAAAAGGAGAAGGAAATAATTTGACAGCAGTTTAAAGACACTATCAGCTAATTATTCTTCATGGCTCTTTAGTGCCTGACCTGATATCCTTCAACTAAACAATCAGTCACAATTATCTTTTCCGTGTCTGCTCTACCAAAGTTCCCTCAGGCAAGTCAGAAACATGCTACAAACTCTGCAAGTAGTGAGAAGGAAAGAAGGAAAATCTGTGGTTGCAAAATGTTTCCTACAAAGAGTCTTGAGCTGAGATTAAAATATTTATTTTCTGCTCGGTGAGCCTTAAATGCAACACATCGTGAAGGCTGCAGCGCTGCTCCCAGCAGTATGATTCAAATTGTTTACCCCAGTCCGTTCATGTCCTGTGGACATATATATACAAACAGTGTGTGTGACAGAAAAGAAGATAAGTTGGGACTCATGCTTTGTTGTTGACTGGCTCAGTGAGCATGACACGCAGTCAGATTTCAAAATAACCTCTACATTCATCTTTTTTTTGTTTCAGTTTTGTATAGAAGTGTGAATACTTGTGGGATAGCTACACAGTGAAAATTATTTCAGCAGACGGGTTTGACGTATTCCCAGCTTTTTCCACCCCACGTGATTCATGTTTTCTGTGTGATTGTTGCTCCTTCTGCAGTTCTCAGATGGCTCCTGGTTATGCAGTTGCAGTGATGGGTATAGACTTCACTCTTCGCTACTTCTACAAGGTCCTGCTGGATCTGTTGCCCATCTGTAACCAGGACAAAGGCCACAAGATCAGGTGAAAAGGATGAACTAACTCATACTGTAACTGCTTTGACTCAAAAAGCCAAGACGTAGTTGGGGAAAGGTAAAATGCACATGTATGAGAAAGAATGGTCTCTCTTGTAAATGAGTCATCGAGGCTCAATGGGTCAAGCTGTCTAAATAAAGATTGAATGAATGGAGCCATGCTATCTGAAATGGATATGTTCTAGGGGGGAAATGGTAAAACTTGCTTATTTTACATTACAGGTGCTTCATAATGGAGGACAGAGGCTACCTGGTTGCTCACCCCACTCTCATTGATCCTAAAGGCCACGCTCCTGCAGAACAGCAGCACATCACACATAAGGTAAATAAATAAATAGGCAAATTGTGTTTTAGCTAAATAACACATTTTAATGCTGAGATGTCATTTTTAAGTCGAAATTTTTTAAAAATCGTGTCTAACTTTCAGTAATCTTTTTGTCTTTTGTTGTTAGGAGCCACTTGTTGCCAACGATATCCTGAACCACCCCAACTTTGTCAAGAAAAATCTGTGTAACAGCTTCAGCGACCGCACAGTGCAGCGCTTCTACAAGTTCAACACCAGCATCATGGTTAGAAAAATGATTGATAACCTAATATACAAATGGATTTAAAGGTCTGACTGAGCAGCTCAGTTATAAATAGACGTCCTCACTAAGGCCTCTCTTAAAGCAATGTGTGCCCAACCTGTGGTGCAACACCGCCCTCTTGTGGTTTGACGGGGTACTTCAACTTTAATATTTCATTCTCCAGTGTTTGTTCCTGTCAATAAAGATTTTACTGGTTAAAGTGGGTTTTAAGTTGAGTTGTAAATATTAAAACACTATAATATGGATCTTAAGTTGATGTAACTGACCTTTTGAACTTTATGGTTTTTTTTTTTTTTGTTCAGGGGGATCTCACAAACCTCGTCCACGGCAGCCATTGTTCCAAGTACCGCCTGACAAGAATCCCCGGCACCAATGCGTTTGCTGGTATAGTGAATGAGACGTGCGACTCGTTGGCCTTCTGCGCCTGCAGCACAGTGGACCGACTCTGTCTCAACTGCCACAGGTCATTAATTAAAGCGACACAATGCCAGAACACTGGAAGTGTTGGGTATTTTTTGCCACTAATGTATCCTCTGATCTGCTTTTGTTATGTTCAGGATGGAGCAGAATGAATGTGAGTGTCCGTGTGAGTGCCCGCTGGAGGTCAACGAGTGCACAGGCAACCTCACCAATGCTGAGAACAGGTGGGTGCCACATACAGCTCATCCATTACTACAGCTACAGACACGGCATATCTGCAGCATTGTGTTGTTGAATAGCAGCAGTAGAAATTAACAAATGAAACGGATGAAATGATTCAGAAAAAGACATATGCACAAACAGCTTGGAGACATCATGAGGATCAGGGAGTGATGGTGAAGCCCAGCAGAGAGTGCAATCACACAGGAGGAGGACAGTAGGAGCTTTAAGAGCCCGGCATACTGCATCCAAAGCCGAACAGTCGACTCGCGGTCACGTGGTTGCGGGACGTTCATTTTCACACATACCTTTCAAAGTCCATGAGACACACGGCGCAGAGCTCCTGGGAAACCCCCTCCTACTGCAATATACATCACCGCACGGGTTTCTTCCCACCAGAGTCTCCACTCCGTCCCTGCATCCACCTTTTGACCACAAATCGGTCACAAAGAAGACTTTTCAGCGACAGACTCCTCCAAACACAACTTCTGTGTGAGCTCCATCCTGGGGTTTGAGGCTGTTTGACTAATTTAGTGTGTTTTAAGAGCCGTACAGCTGAATGTCCGAGTGAATTTCAGCATTGACAAACACACGCACAAACTTCTGACCAATCACACACTTGGTGCATACACCTGTGAGATGAAGTTCAACCTGGGCCTCGTGTTGAGAAGTGGCGGGCGAAGCTACTCTGAGAACAAAATGACGCAATTTTTGTCACATAACTACATCGATGAGCCCATTTCACTGCTTCAGATGGAGTATGAAGGGCCCTTTACTCCCACAGCTCGTTAAAAAGATATCAGTAGTTCTTAGACGTGTTCAGCTGGTTACTATTTGAACGGTGACTGATTTATTTCTTTATTATCAGTTCATATTTATCAGTAGGTAAGAGAGTGGTGGCGCAGAGGTTAGAGAAGGTTCTGTTGCCGTTCAACTCCCCAGACCAACGTCAAACTGTGGGTGGGAGAGGTGAAGCATCCACACTTGTCTCCTCCCTCATTTGCCCCACTCTGGCCCCTTGAGCAAGGCCCTTAACCCCCACCATCTGCTCCCCCGGAAGCCCTAGATAGCAGCTCTCTGCTCCACACAGAGGGCTGTGGTAGCTCGGTGGTCCGTGGTTGTGTCAGGAAGGACATCCGGCGTAAAAACCATCGGCAAGTCTTTGTGCGACTTGGTTCACTGTGGCGACCCCTGAAGAAGGGAGCAGCCGAAAGAAGAAGAAAAAAATCAATAGGTAACAAATGTCACAAAGATTCAGGTTCAAAAAGTGTTGAAATGTTTTATGTTAAAAAGCGGCTTGTTGGAAGAATAATGCCACACGCTTTTAATTTTTACTGCGCTGTGAAAAAATATCTGCACCTTTTTACAGATTTTTTTTTTTGTTCTTGCTTTCTTGTCACGCAAGTGACATATCTTCAGATAAATGTTAATATCAGACAAAGATGACCTGATTCAATACAAAATGCAGTTTTTAGCTGATTATTTCATTTATTAAGGGATAAAAGTCTATCTAAAGCAAGCTGGTGCTGTGTGAGAAAGTAAATTGCCCCTAAACCAAATAAGTGATTGTGCCCCTGTGGCGGCTACAAGTGCAATCCGAGGTTTAGATGAAGTGATGAGTTTTTATGTGGCTGTGAAGGAATGTAGCTGCTGCGCTTCCGATCGCTGTCCTGCTGCAGAACCAAGACGAGCCTGAGCTTAAGGTCACAACTAACTGATGGTTCTCCTTCAGGATTTTCTGGTAGAGAGCAGAATTGCTGGTTTCGTCAATTATAGAATAGAATAGAAACAGCCTTTATTGTCCCACAGAGGGGAAATTCAAGTGTAACAGCAGCAGCAGCAGATATAAAGGCTCACACAAAAAGTTCCTAAAAAGTAAAAAAAAACAATATATAAAGAAAGAAGATAAACAATAATAATAATATACTATACAAGACTATAATGGTAAATAATGTACAGTTATTAAAAATAGGAATGTCGAGATGTACACAATGTTTGATATGCATTGAACATTGAGAAGGACATACAAGTTGACCAGGTCCTGAAGCAGCAACTCGGCTACAGACCATCACACTGCCACCACCATGTTCAACTACTGGGATGAAGTTATTTTCAGTCAGAGATTCTTTATTGTCATTCGCACCTCATGTGGTACATGTGGTGGAGCGAAATTATGTACACAGGGTCCCAGTTACATCCAACAATAAAATGTATAAGAAAAACAGTAATAACATCTAAGATATAAACTAAGAAAAACATCAACTAAATATACACTAAGCACTCATAACATAAAAACATTGAACATCAGCACAAACATGAACATGAGTCTGTGTGAGCAGATGTGCGCGCATGAACACATCAACATTGAAACAGATCAGCAGCAACATGAAACAGATCAGCAGCAGCATGAAACAGATCAGCAGCAACATGATGTGATTTTCAGTGATTATTCTGGTTAGAGATTCATGAGTCTAACAGCCTTAGGGTAGAAGCTGTTCCTCAGTCTAGTAGTTCTACACTTAATGCTCCTCAACCTCCTTCCTGAGGGGAGTGGGGCAAAAAGTGTGTGTGCTGGGTGAGTGAGGTCCTTCATGATGCAGGTAGCCCTCTTCCTGCATCTGGAGGTGTAGATGTCTGTGATGGTGGGGAGGCTGACTCCAACATCTTCTGTGCAGCCTTCACCACTCTCTGCAAAGCTTTTCTTTCTGCAGCTGTGCAGCCTCCATGCCACACGTTGATGCTGGAGCACAGGATGCTCTCCACTGCACACCTGTAGAAGGAGGTGAGGACTGAGCTTCCCAGACCAGCTCGCCTCAGCCACCTGAGGAAGTAGAGTCTCTGATGAGCTTTCTTGATCAGGCTGGTGGTGTTGTTTCCTGAAATGTAGTTAGTTTTACTCCAGATGGAACAGGACGCACACCTTCCAAAACGTTTCCTTTTAGTCTCGTCGGTCCACAGAGTCGAGAACATTTCGTTTTGATTACAAAACTGTGAGGTAACATTGTCCAACGCCTTCTCTTGTGTGACTTGGCAAACCTGGCTCATGAGGCCCATGTCAGCTGATTGGTTATGGAATTTGTGGATGCATTAGATATGAATGCTGCCTGGACGCTGATTGTATCGTGGGTCTAAATGTTCACAAATCATGGAGTCAAATCTAAATGTCCTGTTTTGTGCCGTTCTTGGCCAAAACATCTGCTGACACACTGAACTCTGAACTTGTGACCTACTATAGCATTTATGTTTTTATTTCTTATTTTTAGTTATTTCTTTTCAACAAATCACTTTGAAAAACAACTGACTTCTTAAACTTTTGAGTCCACCCCTTTAAAAAAAAAAATAAAAAATCCACCACTGAACCCTCCCATGCAGGCCATTTTTGCCCCACGTCTCCTTCTGATTATTGACCTCTGACCTTAACTGAAGCAAGTGAGGCCTGCAGAGCTATGTTCTGGGTTCTTTGGGACCTCCTGGATGAGTCGTTGAGGAACTCTGAGTAATTTTGGTTGGATGACCAAACAAACAAACAAACAAGCAACTGTGAAACAGTTTATTTTCTTTGCATCAGACTGTTCCACACTTCCAGGTTTAGTTAAAACCCAAACAACAACGTTGTTTTCACAGTTAGGGAGGAAAAGAAGTCATTTTTCTAAACCTTTTGGTTTTTCTGTAGATTTGATTTAAAACCCACCAGTTTGGTGATAAGATGGTTTCTGGAGTCCATTTTGGTCATGGTTGCCCAAGAGGTGTCAACGGGGGAGAGGGCGGACTCCAGAAACCATCTTCTCACCATCAAATTGGTTGGCCCACTATGTGAGGGTGTTGCTTGTGGGACTGAGTTTGTTGTGGCTCCTTTGACTGGTGAAGGCCTTTAGATGAAGGACGAAACATTTCAACAAAAAAGAAACCATCCAGAGGACCTGACTTAACTTTATTGGATTTTTTTTTTTTTTTTTACCTGGATTATTGAGCATGGACTTTGATGTTCTTTTAGTAATGTTTTAAGTATAAGGTCCTGAAAATGCATAAATCTTGTTTTATAAGCCTCTTTCAGATTCTGTCTTGTGATTTAAGTTGTGGCCAGACATTTCAGGAGCTGTTGGCTGCTGCTTCTTCTTGTGTTCCTCTGAAGATGTTTGTGGGTGTTTTCTCACTTTTTTCCCCTTTATTTCACAAACTTAATCGTTTTTTTTTTTTTTTTCACTTCCACTCTGCATCTGTCTATCATCTCTGTCTCATTTCGCCCACATCCTTTCATCAGCCATCAGCTGCCTTTGACAGCTTGTCAATGTTTCAGATCCCTCCTTTATCTCAAGAAGTCTGCAATTATCATTGTTCATTGTCGTCTCTTGCTTCTTGTTTGTGTTTCTGTGCTTTCATGTTCTGATGTCTGAGGTGGGTTTTTTTTTTTTTTTGTGTGCAAGGTTTTGTTTGGAAAGTGGATTTTTTTCCTATTAAAAAAAGTGCTTATTATTTTTCCACTTTATTTTTTTATTTTTTGCATGTTGTACAGGAACCCTAGCTGTGAGGTGCATCAAGAACCAGTCAGTCTGAATGTGATTGATCCCAGTCTGCATGACACCCTGCCCCAGTGCGTCAACACCCTCTGCAGCCAGAGATACACCAGCAGGTACACAGATACGTGTAAATCTGTGAGGCTTATTCAGACGCATCCTCTCGGAGATAAAGATGCATTCAAAAAAATTAGAATATCGTGAAACACTTCAATTTTTTGTCAATCATTTCAGAAAGTTAAATATGTATATTACAGTAGACCCTCGCTACTTTGCGGTTCACTTTCGTGGACTCACTCTTTCGCGGTTTTTCAAAGTAAGATTGGACATGACACACAATTGGCTGATTGTTGGATGATCCGCAAGATTGGCATGGATTTTCTTAATTTAAAATAAATTATTTTAAATAATTTAGCATCTGCTGCACCTGTATGCAGCCCACATGTGCAGGGAGAAACTCCCTACTGCAGCATGTCGATCTCCGCTCTACAGCTGAGAAGTGGGCGTGGCCGAGAGCGCTAACAGGTGGCAGAGAGCAGCCGGTGGCAGTGAGAGTGGAGATCATGACATGCTGTGCTCTTTTAGTGTTTACAAACATTGTTTAGAATATTGCAAGAGTGTGGGAATGGTTTTAATATAAAGATATACATGCATATATATATATATATATATATATATATATATATATATATATATATATACTAAAATAAACTACTACTTGTACTACTATTCCTACTTTGCGTTTTTTCACTTATCGCGGGTGGACTGAGAACGGAAACCCCCATGATAAACGAGGGACTACTGTATACAAATTCATTACACATGGAGTGAAATATTTCAAGCCTTTATTTCTTGTAATTTTGATGATTATGGCTTATAAATTGTGAAAAACTACAATTCAGTGTCTCAGAAAATTAGAATATTGTGAAGAGGTTCAATAATGTAAATTGGTGTCACCACAATCAGATGATTAACTCCTAGACATGAGCTACAAATGTCTCATTCCTCAAGTCAAACCACTCCTGAACCAGAGACATCAGAAGAGTCTTACCTGCTGAGGAGACAAAGAACTGGACTGTTGCTCAGTGGTCCAATGTCCTCTTTTCAGATGAAAGTACATTTTCATGTCATTTGTAAATCAAGGTCCCAGAGTCTGGAGGAAGTGTCTGAGACACTGATTTTTGGTTTTTATCATCTGTAAACCATAATCATCAAAAATTGCAAGGAATAAAAGCTTGAAGTATTGCTCTCTGTGTATAATGAATCTATGTAGTATGAGTTTCACTCTCTGAAGTAACTGACCCCCCAAAAATTGAACTTTTTCATGATATTCAAATTTTTTTAGACACATCCGTTTTCACCAACGTAAATGTAAAAATCAAAACGTATCTACCACCAGGTATTGTGTAGGTATTGGTAGTGTGACCTGGAGTTTTATCTCATAATGAAACTAACTAATCACTGCCACCTAGTGGTGATTAGTGGGGAAAGGAGTTTTTTTTCTTTCCTAATGACAGGAAACGATTTAGTTTTATTTCTATTTCAATAACGCTGTGTAACACAATTTTTGTTCCTTGCATGTAAACGTTATTTCCTCAACTCCTTTTATCGTAAAACAATAGAAAATGCCTATTATTTCTTTCAAACTTTGCTCTTGTGGTTTACAGAATTAAGTTTTGACCTTTCAAATGGCTGCATTTCAATATTTTCTTATGTTTTTAAGAATATTCTCACAATTTCTGACTGTTTCTTGTAGAATATTATAAACTATTTGAAAAGATTGTCTAAACCATTCTAAATAAATTCTACCAAATTCTAGAAATGTTTTGCTAGATCAAGAACATTTTTACCTAATTTATTTTTTTAACTTTTATCTTTTTAAAGTATTTAAATTTAAACTCTGAATTTTTCAAGTTCTAAAGAAAGAGGGAATTCTAGTTTTAATCCAGCAACAAGACCCAAGAGACATTTAATGACCTGCTCTGTGTTTCAGTGACTGTTTTGGCGTGTTGAACTGCGAGTGGTGCATGGTGGACAGCGACGGGAAGACTCACCTGGACAAGCCGTACTGCGCCCTGCAGAAGGAGTGCTTTGGAGGCATCGTTGGTGCCAAAAGTCCATATGCAGACGGTCTGGGGCTTATTGGTAAGTTAGAGTGAGCTAATCAAGTCAAAACTTATTAACAAACAGCTGCAACTGTACAAAATAAATGTCTAAAAAATAAACTATATTAATCCTCTTCAGCTGTGCTGGCTTCACAACGTTAGTTAGCCTCGTTGTCTTTAGCCGTCTTGTTCCACAGTTGAGACTGGGACCGTGTCTTTAGCAATATAAGCCATTGCTTTATTAATGTCGCGCTGCGTCTCACTGTTCCTCTCATAAGGCACAGCGCGGCTAAATAACTTTTGTACCGTGGTTTGTTTCAGGGAAGGAGAGTTAATGATGAAAAAGTTTCTTAATCCTTTTGTCGGGACTTGTTTTCTGCATTTTCTACAGAAAACATTTTTTCTGCTGCTCATCTGACAATTTAAATCCAAACCATCTCAAAATAACAGCCACTGTTTTTGTTTTTGCTCAGAAAGCTGCTCTTCAATATCCTCTCCCGTGTTTACTTGTTGTGCTAAACTTCCTGCCCACCTGGAGAAGAGGGGGTGAGGGGCTAGGTTTGTATTCTGTGAGGGAGATGGAGGGCTGCGTGCAGTTGGCGCAGACGAGAGAAAAAGGAGCTACACAGATTTTCAAGCCTAATTATAACTAAACGTAGAATTATTGATATTGACGATATAGTCCCATCTTATATCGCGTATGAAATTATTGCAATGTTTTTGAAATATCGAGATATCGCCCAGCCCTACCTGCCACCTTGCATTCCATCGTTTCAATCAAAGATCTTGTGTGATCTGTCAAAGTACACGAGGAGGATATTTAGCTTCCACCACAACAAACTTGTCTCATTTTTTGGAAATAAAAATGACAGATGAAGCCGATTTTGTGTTTGCCAAAGATAATTCGCTGTGGAGACCGAGAATTTAAGTTTATTCGTACATTATGACAGATGGTTTTTTTTAGATGTTTTGCATTGTATCCTTCAGGCATCAGAATGAGGAAATGTGCAAGCAAAAACAAAACGAGACAAAAAATATATATTTCCAGCATCTTTAAGAAAAGAAGTGTTGCTCCTTTAGGAGGCCAGACTTAAATATTTCTGTAACTTGTATTTTTGAATCTAAAACTCTTCTGTTGCTTGGATATTTTTAACTTGGTTGTCTGCCTGGAGTCGGATCATTTTTCGCACTCACAAGAGAAAAGAAGTCCAAAAATATTCCAGCATCACAGCAGGGGTTAAAAACTGAGCCTGAGGAGTTCGAAACTGGCCCGTTGGATCGTCTCAAATGTTCCTCCGGACGTTTCTCCTCATTCTTTGTTGCTTCTACAGATGAGGAGGTGGCATCGTTAAACATGATCAAGAGCGCCCCCGTGGGTCCAGTCGCTGGGGGCATCATGGGATGCATCATGGTGCTGGTGTTGGCTGTGTACGCATACAGACACCAGATCCACAGACGCTCACACCAGCACATGTCGCCGCTGGCTGCACAGGGTAGGACTTGTGTTATTATTGATTTAAAAATAAAAAGCACGTTCAGAAAATATATGTGGGGACACTACGCTCCTTAAAATCTCCTTTAGCAGCCATAACAGATTTCTGTGTAATACTTTATAATATGAACTGTGGATAAAATCTGGAAGAAATTTAAATGATCAGTAAAAAAAAAAAAGAATATTTTAAGCAGTTCAATAGAGAACAAAGGTGAATTTATTTATAGTTAACACAGTAGAATAGCGGCATGCATCTCATTAGGTGATTTTTGTTTACTGCTGTGATGCTGCAGAAATGTCTGTGAGAATGTCCAACCTTGATAATGAGAGGGATGAGAGGGATGAGGACAGCCATGAGGACAGAGGGATCAGTAAGTAGCAGTTTGAAGCTGGACACATCAGTTTCACTGTGTGGTTTTGTGCAGACAGTCTTAGTGCTGACATGTTCCCTCTCTGGACTTCCAGTCAGTAACACCAGATTTATAGCTGCGGTGATTGAGAGACACACTCACACACCTGAGCGGAGACGGAGATACTGGGGCCGATCTGGGACGGAGAGCGACCACGGTAAGATCCACACCCGAGTACCTAGTTTGACAGGACCTGGGAGATTTATACCATAAAGCAATTCTGTAAAAAAAAAAAAAAAAAAAAGAAACTCTACCAAGACTTAAAATGCTTTCTTATGAACAAATACAAATTGACTAAGTTAATTTCTGCTGAAACGATGCAGTTCTTTCTGAGATCCATAAGAATCTCTAAAAATCTCTTCGTATTCTGGAATTAGCTGCTTGAGCGACACAGTGTCTTCCAGACACCTTTAGATTCCCCAGGAATAGTAGGAACATGTCGGATAATTTACAGTGGTGCTTAAAAGTTTGTGAACTCTTTATAATTTTCTATATTTCTGCATAAATATGACTTAAAACATCATCAAATTTTCACACAAATCCTAACAGTAGATAAAGAAAACCCAGTTAAACAAATGAGATAAAAATATTTTACTTGGTCATTTATTTATTGAGGAAAATAATCCAATATTACATATTTGTGAGTGGCAGAAGTATGTGCCCCCCCCCCCCCTGCAATAACTGCAACTAAATGTTTCCGGTAACTGTTGATCAGTCCTGCACAGCGACTTGGAGGAATTTTATCCCATTCCTCCGTACAGAACAGCTTCAACTCTGGATGTTGGTGGTTTCCTCACATTAACTGCTGCTTCAGGTTCTTCCACAACATCTGGATTAGATTAAAGGTCAGAACTTTGACTTGGCAATTCTTTCTTTGGTAGAACCACTTGTGTGCTTCGGATCATTGTGTTGCTGCATGACCCACCTTCTCTTGATTCAGTTCATGGACAGATGTTCTGACATTTTCCTTTAGAATTCTCTGATATAATTCAGAATTAATTGTTCCATCAGTGATGACAAGCCGTCCTGACCCAGATGCAGCAAATCAAACCCAAACCATGATTCTACCACCACCATGTTTCACAGATGAGATAAGGTTCTTATGCAGGAATGCAGAGTTTTCCTTTCTCCAAACATAATGCTTTCATTTAATCCAAAAAGTTCTATTTTGGTCTCACCCCTCCACAGAACATTCTTCTAACAGCTTCTGGCCTGTCCATGTGATCTTTAGCAAACTGCAGACGAGCAGCAATGTTCTTTTTGGAGAGCAGTGCCTTTTTCCTTCAACCCTGCCGTGCACACCATTGTTGTTCAGTGTTCTGATGGTGGACTCATGAACATTAACAATGTGAGAGAGACCTTCAGATGCTTAGAAGTTACACTGAGGTCCTTCATGACCTCGCAGACTATTCCACACCTTGCTCTTGGAGTGATCTGTGTTGGTCCACCACTCCTGGGGAGGGTAACACTGGTCTTGAAGTTCCTCCATTTGTACACAATCTGTGTGACTGTGGATTGGTGGAGTCCAAACTCTTTACAGATGGTTTTGTAACATTTTTCAGCCTGATGAGCATCAACAACTCTTTTTCTGAGGTCCTCAGAAATCTCCTTTTTTCATGTTATGATTCACTTCCATGAACATGTTGTGAAGAGCAGACTTTGATAGATCCTGTTCTTTAAATCAAACAGCTCACACCTGATCATCATCCCATTGATTGAAAACACCTGACTCTAATTTCACCTTCAAATTAACTGCTAATCCTAGAGGGGCACATACTTTTCCCCATCACAAATATGTATTGGATCATTTTCCTCAATAAATAAATGACCAAGTATAATATTTTTGTCTCACATGTTTAACTGGATTCTCTTTATCTACTTTTTAGAACTTTTGTGAAAATCTGATGTTTTAGGTCATATCGATGCAGAAATATAGAACATTTTAAAGGATTCACAAACATTCAAGCACCAGTGTATGTCTGTCATATTTCCAGCTTTTCCACTCCATGACCTACACTGCAGGCAGGTGTAAAATAAGAATGTTTGCACACCTTTTAGATCATTACAGAGCATAAAAATATTACAAGCTAATCTTCAGTCATTCAGCTCAGTTTCAAGTCCACAGCTTGTTCCCAGTTCTGCGGTGCTGGCACAACTCTACAAGTTCTTTTCATTAATCACAACTCTGACCCTATTTGTCTCTCATCTTCAGCTGCAGATGAGTTGCTCATGTTCACTTTTAAGATGTTTCAAGTCTGACACTTGCTGTGGATGGACATTTTCACCCACACGGGCTCTCTGCCACCCACATATGTGGCATCATTCCATTTCCTGGCAACGAGTGGCTCTGCTACTTGTTGCATAAGCGACGTTTCAGAGAGAGCCAGGGCGAGTGTGAGGAGAAGAGTGTGGGCAAAAAATGAAAGAAAAACACAAGTGCGAGCTTGTCGGCTGAATGTTACAGTACAGATGAGGAAACAGATGAGTTATCAGTTTCTGCGTGTACTCTGCACTTCACATCTTCTCCCAGTGTTTATGTGAGTGCATACATGTTTGATAAATGTTACAAGTCTTGGAATGAGGCTCATTTTGTTTTAAGGTATAAAATAAAATATTTATTTTTAAATAGTTTCCATCTAAAACTAAATAAGATAAAAATCTTGACATAAAGGGTTTTGTTTGGTCTTTACTGGTTGCAGCTGATAATTGCCAACAAGGCACGGTTTGCAGCAGATTGACAATAAGTGTTGACTTCTTTAGGGACAATGGACATACACTGCAAACATCTTTGAAGTTTTCATCCCTTTCTCTCATTTAATTGCTCTAATACGTCTTTCCTTCTGTACTTTGACAGCTTTCTGTCAGTTGGTGGTAAAACCCAGTAGAGGATTTGTAGGAAACCTCCTAATTTGACTAGTCGGGGGTTGTAGGTAACTTTAGGCCACTGGAGCGATGTTTTGTGTCCACATGGGAACGGCATTTTAGGTGCTCCTAAACAATATTTTTGAAAAGTTTTCAGAGAGACAACATCTTGAACTCCACCCTTGAGTTCTTGTGTATACAGCTCAAATGCAATCTTCTGTCAACAACAATGCCCTAACCCACCTCTATTCTGACCTTTAGCCCCAAGATTACAGCTTGTGCTTGTGTTGCTGATGCCAGTTAAAACTTTGTATTTCTTTAATTAACTGACTAGGCTGATGAACAATATCATTGCCTTGAACAGAGTAGAGCAAATACTCCTTATTTATATACCAAATAATCCAGGACCAAAAAGATTGTTTTGCTTTATTGAACATTCTCTGTCAAGAATAATAAAATGTAAACATTACAGAAAAAAATACAATAAATATACTACAATAAATATCAAATATTAGGACTGTGAAATGTATCTCAAATGTATTGTCAATGCAGTATTAAACAATAATAAACATCAGAAGTTTTTTAAATATTTTGTAGTTCTATCCAGTATACATTTGAATTGAATTGAATTGAAAAATGTGGGAAATGGGAATTGTTAGGTATTTTTTGTTTGACCTTTAAAGAAAATAATTTCACACAACACGGCGAGATGAGTTTTTAGCGCTCAATACCTACAGGAATAGTTTTTTTTATTTTTTTTATCAGAAATATATTAGCCTGGTATGCTTTAGACATCTAGAAAAACCTTAAGCTGTCCTTCAGAAACTCCTCTTGAAATTGTTCCTCACGTCCATGTATTTGGACTGACAAGGCTCCCAGTTGTTTGATGTGAGAAGAAAGCGTTCCACTTCATGATCAGTCCACCAAAAGGAGTCAATGTTTGCTCTTGTATTCACCATCTTTGTCTTCTTCTTGTGTTTACTGCTCAAACCATAAACAGTATTTTATAAACTGTCCACCTGTTGTGTAGGAGTTCTGAGCATGCTCCATGCCTTGTTTCCTGTTTTTGGTATTTTGGTGGCTGCATCACTGCACCACATACAGGCCTGGGATAGTTACTACAACATAACTTTGTGTAGAAAGACATGTATTTAATGTCACATGATCCTGGTTTTTAGCTTTTTTCCTGAAAACTGCATCCTCCGATTGTTAAATCTTAGTTTTGATTTTGAATAATCATGAAATATTTGTTCCATTAATGCCAGCTTCTGTTTGAATCTGTGTTCAGGCTACAGCACCATGAGTCCACAGGAGGACAGCGAGAATCCGCCTGGAAACAACGACCCGCTCTCAGCGGGCGTCGACGTCGGTAACCACGATGACGACCTGGATCTGGACACGCCCCCTCAGACAGCCGCACTACTGAGCCACAAGTTCCACCCGTACAGACACACGCACCACCACCCGCTGCACACGCACACACACCACCTGCAGGCGGCGGTGACGGTGCACAGTGTGGACGCAGAGTGCTGATCCTCGCCTCCCTGATAGAGATGGAACTCTGTTTTAACAAAGACTATTTAAAAGAAATTAAAACGCGTGCTTCGTTAGACGGCACACGCTGTGGTGTTTTCAGGTTAGATGAACTGATGATGAGGAGGGGACGCCACAGACGGACAGAGCGCCTCGTAGCTTCAGGTTTTCATTACATGAATGTTGGATGATGCCACAAGCTGCCGTCATGGCAGCATCTCTGTCTTGTTCTATTCAAATGTAAAATATGGCAGAAATGTCTGACTGGGGACAAAGCAGTTGGGATTGTCTGTTTTGTCTTCTGGAATCACCGCTACGAGCACAACTTTCAGGAGAACATAAGACCCATTTGAGCCTATTCATCAGACACTTCAGAGAACAGAATACAAATGGAGCCCATAAGCTTCATGGGGAAACAGAATCATTTCTCAGCGTTGGACAGGAAGAGTGGATAACTGAAATAAAGCTGGGGCCTGACGTGGATTGTTGCTCAACCCTAAACTGGCAGTCCCCCTGCAAAGGCCTCTCGCTGTGAGGTGCACAAAAGGAACAGAGTGCACTTCAAAAAACCAGGACGCATCCCTGGTAAAGAATAAAATGTTTTTTAACAAAGAACTGGTTCTAGAAGGATTCTAACATGGCATTATTTCCCTCAATCTTTACTCTCCATGGTGCAGAAGATGAACTTTCTAGACTTGTTTTTCTCTGAAAGTTGCAGCATTTTATTTTATTTTTTTGTTTTTTAAGGCTCCTGAATTCACCCGACATGATATGGGGTAATATCAGGACACTTTCCTGAATGTCTGTAAACTTCAAAATGGGATAAAGCTTCAGTGTTTCACATAAGATAACATTACAAAGAGCACAATATTATTTTTCTATTATTTATTAAAACGATAAACTTTCAAGACAGTTGGAAAAAGCTAAATAAAGACAGGAAATACTCTGGAAACCGGTGCATCAGATTTATTTAGGCTCATTCTTCTAGATTTTACTTTTCATGAAAATGTTGTCTAAAATTTACAGCAAAGGAAATTAAGAGTTTGTTTTTTAATCAGAATGAAGGTTCTTTATCAGCAGCTTGTTTGCATTTAGTTTAAACTTTATTTTTATTATCAAAGTCATATTCATCTAATCTTTACTGCTTTACACATTTCAATTAACTATTTTTGAGGCAATGATTCTGTTATAAACTCTACTTTCATAATGACACCATAAAGTGGATATAAATATATTTTTAAATAAAATATCAAGACCGTAGAAACATCTTTAAGTATAAGTGGCCCTTCTAAGATTTAGCAAACTTTTCTGTGATTGTCATGACCTAAAATATCTGATTTTGCAGTAACTTTTTCATAAAGTTGTGATAATGGTACACTACTTTCTATCACTCAGACAAGTTGTCTTTGATTCAAAACTTTTTCCCTTTTTTTGCTTCATTTAAGAAGGAAACTCCTCCCTCCACACTTGTCATCACCTCTAGCCGCCTCATGTCCCGGCTGCCTGAAAAGCAACACCTCCAGCCTTTTACAGGCAAGTTTTGTGGTACAAAAGTTGTTGTTGAAACAGTTTTTGCTTAAGTTTTTACCTCAGTATTGCATGTTGTGCAGCACAGGTTGCCACCACTTTCATGTTAAACTTTAGGAAATTAGTTCAGATTTTAGAGCTAATATTAGACGGGAAATTATGATAATCTGGCATCAGACACATTTTCTGGAATCCCAGGAAGTAAAGCGGGGGATGATTGGTCAAATTGGTCAAACTGTTGGTTAAAATTTCAAGTTTGAGCAAAATGTGTGGAGTTTGGTGGGATTTGTTTTATTAGCTGATCACTATTCCTGGAGGGACTGGTATAGATAAGTGCAAAATGGTGCAACATTCCCCTTTGTTGGCAGCTGAAACATTTTATAACTCATGGTAAACACTGTACACACCAACATGAGAAACTTTTAAACCAATTTAAAGATTTGGTGAGCAGAAGGTTCAAATCAAAGAATGAACAGGCTCTTTAAAAAGGTATCAAGGTGGGTTTTATTCACCCGCTTCAAATGTTATAATCCATTAAATGTCCATTATTAGTTGTTGTCATCCCCATAGGTTGTGTTCAGACTGTCCCTCCTGTACCTCCTAGTAGGTTTAAAGGTATGTTCTATTTGTATGGGGAGTGGTGGTGCGTAGGTTAGAGAGGTGGGCCTGTGATCCGAACATCTGGTAAGTTGTTTTGATTCTGTTGACCCGGTGGTAGCGCATTCGCTAGCCGCATCAGGTTTCTTTATTGGCTGGAAGTACGGTGTTTAGCCATTTTTCCTTAGTTTACAGAAAGCATTGTAGCTACGTTCCTGGCAGCATCCGGAACTGATTTTCAAGAGCAGTTCGAGTCTGGCTCGTGTGTGTCGACTGCCAGTTCGCACACCTCCTCCTGCTCTCAGCCAGAGGACAGTTCCATAGTGGGTGCTTTGAGAACTGCTCTTGCTCGGTTGCACCTAGATGTCCCACAGAGCCAATCTGCTGTTTCCAGCGCTTTCTTTAAACGTCCTTCTGCTAGGTCGTCCTTTATGGTTCCCCCTTCGGCTGAATACATAAAGGAGGTGCATGCCTGCTGGATGGATACTAAGGCTTTCTCATGACCGACCACAGATGGCAGGGCCCTGGCGGCCATGCAGGATGCGCCCAAGTTTGGCTTGGGCCATATGCCTTCTGTCGAACCTGCCATAGCGTCCCTCATTGTGCCTCCGAATAAGGCTTTGAGGGCTAATGCCAGGTGCCCTCGTCCTCAGTGCCAGGCCACAGATGACCTGCTCTGTAGAGCTTATGACTCGGGGTCTCGATTGGGATGACTGGGTAACGCTGTTGCATTTGTTACTGGGCCTCTTGACCTCCTTGGAGGGCTTGGCTGTTGATGCGCCTACTCAAGGCCTGATGGACGCTTCCCTTCACGCCTTTGCTCTTTTTTCAAGGGAGATTGGCCGTGTGTTATCTACTTTCGTCCAGGCACGTTGCTAGGTTTGGCTGGCACAGTCTCCCCTGACTGAACCCTGTAGAAAGACCCTGATGAGTCTTCCTGTGGTTCCTGGGGAGCTGTTTGGTTCTGCTGCACTTGCAGCCTTGGAACGTTCAGCCCAGGCCACCCGTACCAGGCAGCAATTGTCCGGCCTTCATCGCAGATGCTCTCGGCGTCCTGCTGGAGGTGCCTCTGCGTCCTCCTCACACACTTATCCGGCCCCACCTACACCATCCGTGGGGCAGCTGCGGCCTGTTGCAGGTCCTGCTCATAGCCAATGGGCTCTGCCCAGAGGTCGGGCTCCCGTCCCTCTTCAACGCAGGCACGCTCCCGGCATCCCTCACGGCATCCCTCCCGGCATCCCTCCTGCCCTCCTAAAGGCAGGGGAGCTCGGAAATGACATTTGGAAGCAGGCGGTGGGACGCTTTACCCCATTTCAGCTCAACCGCTGGGCCACTCTCGTGCCTGATCCGTGGGTTGTGTCAACACTATCTCGGGGCTACGTGCTACAGTTCTGCCGCCGCCCTCCCATTCCTGGTCAGGTCAGAATGACGGTCATTCGCGACCAGGTGAAAGCTCAGGCACTGAACTACAAAATAGACGCCTTGCTGGCCAAGGCTGCTATAGTGCCTGTCGACCCCCTGCAGGATCCAGGGAGCTTTTACTCAAAGTATTTTTTAGTCCCCAAAAAGACTGGTGGACTACGGCCAATTCTGGACCTGAGAGGCCTGAATGTGTTTTTGAAAACTATTCCTTTCCACATGTAGAGCATCAGAGATGCGCTCCAGGCAGTCTCTCCAGGCGACTGGTTCACCTTGGTCGACTTGAAGGATGCATACTTTCATGTACCGATTATGCAGCACCATTGGCAGTTTCTCCACTTTGCATTTCAGGGCAAGCATTTTCAATTCAGAGTTCTTCCATTCGGTCTTTCTCTGTCCCCCCGTGTGTTCACCCGGTGTGTGGCAGCAGCCCTGTACCCTCTGCAGGTCAAAGGGTTGAAGATCCTGCCCTACTTGGACGATTGGCTGATCTGTGCGCCAACACAAGCTCAGGCAGCTGCGGACACACAGATGGTGCTTGATCACATAGACCTATTGGGTCTTCGTGTGAACTGGGAGAAGAGCAACCTAATTCCCTCTCAGGAGGTCACATTCCTGGGAACTACGATTAACTCCCTCACCATGGTGGCTTGCCCGTCACCACAGCGTGTCAGCGGGATTCTACAGATGCTGCCCGCCTTTCTGCCCGGCCGTGCACCCCCCTTCATTGTGTACCTTTGCCTGTTAGGCAAGCTGACTGCTGCCTCCACAGTGGTACCTCTGGGGCTGTTCTCTCTGTGCCCTCTACAGATGTGGCTCAACAGCCTGCAGCTGGATCCAACTCGTGCAGTGCACTGACGCAGGAGGTTGCTGGTGTCCCCTCAATGCCTCGCTTCACTGGCTCAGTGGCGAGATGCAGTGTTTGTGGTGAAGGGGGTCCCACTGGGCTCTCTGCCGTCTCGAAGGGAGGTTGTTTGCACTGATGCATCCACCACAGGTTGGGGGGCATCGTGGCAGCGACAGATTGTCCAAGGAATGTGGTCTCCACAGCAAAAGGCGAGGCACATCAATGCCTTGGAGCTGGACGCTGTGCGGCTGGCACTAAAACACTTCCTCCCGGGCCTGCGCGGGAAGCATGTCTTGGTGCGGTCCGACAATACTTCTGTGGTTTTTCAGGTCAACCATCAAGGTGGAACACGGTTGCTGACATTGCTGCTACTGACCCAGAACCTCTTACTTTGGGCAGCCCCCCTCTTTGCCAGCCTGAGGGCAACCCACATTCCAGGAGTGCGGAATGGGCCGGCCGATTTTCTGTCTCAGGGATGCCCATCACCTGGGGAGTGGAGGCTCCATCCGGAGGTGGTGAGGGTAATTTGGGAGAGGTACGGCAAGGCAGCTGTGGACCTGTTTGCATCTCAGGAAACAACACACTGCCCGCTTTGGTTTTCTCTGGCAGGCAGTTCCAGTCCCCTGGGTCAGGACGCACTGGCACACGACTGGCCCAGAGTGCTGCTGTATGCTTTTCCGCCGCTTCCCCTGATAGGCCCAACACTCCTGAGAGTCCTTCAAGAGGGACATCAAGTCCTCCTAGTGGCTCCCCTCTGGCCCGGGAGAACTTGGTTTCAGCTCTCCAATGCCTCTACAGCTGTAACTTTCGTTCTTGTTGCTGATAATAGGGTCAGGGGGTTAGGTTTAGGAAAAAGGTTAAATAAAGCTAACCCAAACCCAAAAAAACAAGTTCCGGTTTTAGACTCGGGCAATGCTGCATATTATCAGCGATAAGAATGTACCTTTAAACCTACTAGGAGGTAGGAGGGACAGTCTGATTGCAGCCTATGGGGATTTTAACAACTAATAACGTTCATTTAATGGGCTGATAACATCCAAAGCTGCTGGTTTTATTTGTGAATTGTCTATTTGGGGAAAAAAAATTATTAGCCTTTTTCACAGCAAATGTCTGAGAGGAAAAAAAATGTTTCTTAATTTAGCACGTCGCTGGTTTCAGAAGTCACATGTGTTTTAAGAAAAACTTTTGTTCTGGGTGAAAGAAGTCATTCTGGACATGTCCTCTACATGAAGAGACATGTGAGGGGAATGAAGGAGGAGAGACTGAAGCTAACACCAGCAAAAACATTCCCAGCTTTAGTCACAGCTGGGGATTTTTTCTGTGGGGGGATAATTGGAGACCCTCGGAGAGGTCCTGAGTGCTGTCCTGAATGGAGGAAAAAAAAAGGACAGAAAGGTGTTTTATTCCAACCTTTAGCCTCCGAGGCCTATCTGATGCTGCACAGACTTCATGTTGAGCTGAACATCTTCAGTAACGTTCTCCTCCCAGTCAGAGTTGAATAAAATGGATGCTGCTGCTGCTGGTGTGCAGAGGTGAACCCTTCTGTCAGCTCCTCTGCAGCTAACCACTCAAAACTGTGTGTGTATGTGTGTGTGTGTGCGCTGGAACATTTTCACAGAATGCATTA